AACCACATGATCAGCATCCTCTGGGAAGCTGTGGGTTTATAGAGGAGAGATAGGTTACGTCTTTGGTCCAGTGCTCATTCCCCAAGGATGTAGTGACCTCTCACAAGCAATGTATTTAGTTTGCACTGTGGTGGGATCTCTGTCTCTAACTATAGCCTCTGGGCACTGCTCTTCGTTGAGTTCCTGAGACTTAACTCTCAATGGGCTCTGTTTTGGGCCTGTATGACTTGCACTGCTTAATTTCAGGCTACAAAAAAAAAAAAAAAACCTGAAGAAGAAAACCCGTGGCATTCAGGTTTGTACAGATGCTGATATGGAGCCAAGACCTCTTGGTTAAGCCTCTGAGATGCTGTGGGGGGCTCCTGCTTATCCAAGGAGCCTTGGAGATATGTATAACCTTTGAGCTATTCTTGTCAGAGCATATTGTTCAATTCAAGATTACCATATACTGTAATATTTCTCCTGCAGCTTTAGAGCAACCCTACTGAGTCTCGAGTGCTACAGAATGAAACTTGACCCCTGATTAAGTGGGGGAAAGAGGTGACCTTTAAACTGTGACATTTCCCAGGCCTTGGTTGTACACAATCAGTTTTGCCCCAACTTTGGGCAGCCTGTGGTTTAAAAACTGATTGAGGTTTTGTTTGGACACACATTGCCTGTGATGGTGTCTGTTTTCATTCATTTGCTGGGCACAGGACTGGGGGACTTCTCCTTAGTCATGACAAGAATGACATGTGTGTGTCTATGCTCTCTTCTGGCCTGTCTGTCATGCTTCCATATGGCCAGATAAGAACAGGCTTGGAGCTCAGTGGGTCCTACTGATGGGTATGGACAAAGGGAATGGGTTGCACTCTGAGGCCCAGCTTGAAAAGGCAAAATCTGACAGCCTTGCCAGATGCTCCTGCAGTATACAAGTATCTTCCTTTCTCATTGAGCATGTTACTAGCTTTGGAGAATGCTGGCTCATGTTATGCTTTCTCAGTTGTGGGATCAAACAACAGCAGTGCAAATACTTGTGGGAATACCTCAAGGCACAGCAATGAAGTATTTGCACTGAAATCTTGGCTTTAGGCACCGTGGATGTCTACTAAACCTGGGGAAACATTTGATCCATGGACCCATTAAAGAGAGAAACACCCATTGACAGATTGAAAATCTTGTCTTTGTTCCTTTAACATCAAAAGTATATTTAGCCATGCCTTTTGATTTACAAGTGAATGGATGTTTAGTCCTTGTGGAGATGTCTGCTCCATGTAACTCAAGCAAGGGAGCAGATTGCCTTGAAAAGGGGTGGGGGCACTGCAAGGATGAGCAAGCCAATGGGAGAAGCAAGGTGAGGGGCTGGCGGAGAAGGGGATCGGGTAGGAGTCTTTTCTTTTTCTTGTGCTCTGTATTGAAACAAGACTACTAACAGCTGCACTGCTTCTTGGGTCCTAGATGATTAACTTCGCAGCTTGTGTTCTCTGTCCCTCCATTAAATCCATTTGTACAGGGGAGCTGAGTGAATCCAATGGTTTTCTTGGTTTGTTTTTGTTCTGCCTTTAGTGTGTGGCCTGTCTTTTGTGATTGGGAATTTTAAAAAAGGCATTTCTGTAGCAGGGTCAGTTGGTCAGCTGGTGGCACGCATGGGTCATGTGCTTCCCTCATCTCTCTGTCAAATGGGATGTGCTTACCCAATCTCCCAGAACAGAGACATTGAACAATTTTGTTGTTTATATGATGTATTTATTTTTACTTGTGTTTCATGTCATTTTTTAAAAAAATAATAAATTGTAAGTTGGTATAATGCCTATCAATTCTTTCTCCTTTTTAAAAAAATAAAGTTCAAATGTTACAAATAGTTCAGTGATTCTTGTCTGAAATGAACCTGGCATGTGTTGCTCCCAACCGCCTTCTATTGATAACAAACTCAGGCTCACATCTAAGTAAAATTCATTGTGATGAGGCCATTTGGAAACTGTGTGATCTGTTTCATACAACTTATTCTGCTGATTTCAGTGTTATTTACACTGTGTTGGAGATGTTGGCTTAAAAGTCTTGAATTTGAATGCTAGAAGTTGCTGTTGAACTTTTAGAGGGTTATGTGACTGCTATCTCTGATAAAGTGAACAAAATGGCTTCAGGAACAATGTGTGCACCTCCGATTACCAAATTGTATATTGGCCTGCCAAAATACAAAGTCCATCGTTCCTGGGTTCTATCATCAAATTTTGATATAATGTTGGCCGCAACATTGTAAGTTTTAGATTAATTTTTCATAACAGACACTGAAAAGGAATTCACGTAATGAATCAAAATGAGAGGCAAGAAGAAAGGTGCTGCAAATTAATGCGGTTCTCTTTCAGCAGAACTGTGCTTGGCAAGAATTAGCAAACACAGCCAAAGAGTTCACACTGCAACAATACAGTATTGAGACCAGACCGCAAATACAGTAGAGTCTCATTTACCCAACATAAACGGGCCTGCAGAACGTTGGCTAAGCGAAAATGTCAGATAATAACGAGGGATTAAGGAAAAGCGTATTAAATGACAAATTACGTTATGGTTTTACAAATTAAGCACCAAAACATCATGTTTGAAATCCAAAACACCTGGAAGACCAGAGTTGGGAACACACAGATATACTGTAGATTAACCGTCTCTAGAATCTCATATTGAGCATAGAGGAATGGCAACACTGTAAAACCAAAGTTTGCTGAGCACTGATGTTGATCAACTGTCTCCAGAATCTCATCTGGAACTGGGTGACTCTGTATTGGGAGGGCTTGGCTTGTGCCTTCCTGCCTAGCACAATGGGGCTGGACTGGATAGCCTCTTAAGGGAGGGAGCCTCTTGCATTTCTAGGATTCTGTTCCTCTAATTATCCTTGCTTGGGTTAGAAGAGGAGGAAGAGGAGAAGAAAGCCAGAAGTGCAAGTTGCTGAAAAGCTGTCAGAGGTAAAAGAGGGAGGAAGAAGAAGACTGTGTGGGGAAGAAGGGGGGAGGATCTGGAGCAAAGTGTGTGTGTGTCCAGGAAGGGGGGGGGGGTCCTCCAGCCACCTGGCCAGGTAAGGTGGCAACAGAAGGCAGCCAGCTCCCCCGCCCTACTCACCAGTCTTGACTCGGCCTCACCCGCTGCAGCCCTTTCCCAAGCCCACTGCCTTGGTTTCTATCTCCCCTTTCCTTCCTTCCTGCCATGGGCTCTTTCCCCTCACCTTGATTTGGAAACAAGGCTAGGTTGGAAAAGTCTCCAAAGCAGGAGAGCGAGGCTCTGCGTGTGCTCAGGGCAGAGAGAGAGAGAAGGAGAGTCATTGCATTTCCTTTTCCCCTCCCTAGCCTTTGGAGATGCACTTCCTTTCTCCTCTTCCCAGTTTTTGCGCACAGAAAAAAAGCCACCCGCTCTCATGTGCATATATCAAAGGGTGCGATGTTCCCATTCGGCCACATGATGGCGTCAGATAATATGGAGTGTCAGATGAGCGGAGGTCAGATATCCAAGACTGCTGCAGTGGAAACAAGGACACGAGTGGACACCCCCCTTCTTTGCAAAAGCTGCAACAGGTTGTAGTCAGTTTTATGAGGAGCACACCTACTTTTGCTCTATCTGGAACATTAACAGAAGCTTTTGACAAGTGTAGCTTTGGTCTCCTTGAAAATATTTAAATAAAATATTAAAAGAGAGAGAGCATAATGAGCAAATATCTGTCATTGTATTAGAATGCCTTTCATTTGCTATTCAGGTACCATATTGGTTGTAACCATATAAATAAATAAATAAAGGAGCCATCTTCTTTTGATTTCAAACCAGTGGCTCCTGGGCCTATTATGATGTGCCTTTAATTAACAGCCAAAGTTCTTTTACATGGACATAATTTTCTTTCAATGAGCTACAGTGGCCACTCTTTAAAAGGCAGTGGTGTTGAAGGTGGGGAAATGGGCAGTGGGATCAGGAACAATCGCAGGATGTTAAAATGAGATGTTGAAATTAGACAAATGACAAATGAAGTGTGGACAAGTCTACATAGGGACCACCAAATGCAGCATTGCCCAAACACGCATCAAGGAACATGAAAGGCACTGCAGACTACTTCAACCAGAGAAGTCAGCCGAGAGCACCTGATGAACCAGCCTGGACACAGCATATTATTTGAGAACACAGAAATGCTGGACAACTCCAACAACCACCATGTCAGACTACACAGAGAAGCCATTGAAATCCATAAGCATGTGGACAATTTCAACAGAAAGACGAAACCATGAACATGAACAAAATCTGGCTAACAGTATTAAAAAACTCTAAAATTACAACAGCAAAACAGCAGAGGGGAAGCAATCTGGGACATCTAATCACCTCTCAACAAAAGATTGCCCTAGGCACTGCCAGGCCATCAAATGCTAATCAAGGTGGTCAGTTGAAACATTCACACCTAGCTCCAGCAGACAAAAGTCCTTTGTCCCATCCTGGTTTTTCCACAGAAATATAAACCCCTTTTCCTAGTTCCAACAGACCTCACTACCTCTGAGGATGCTTGCCATAGATGCAGGCGAAACATCAGGAGAGAATGCCTCTAGAACATGGCCATATAGCCCAGAAAACTCATAACAATCCAATTACGGTAATAAATCCAATCCCATGGTCATGGACAATACAGACAACTGAACTGTTTCTTGGTAAGAGCGCACTGGGTCAGAAAAAGAGAAACTGAATTTCACTTTCAAGTTGGCTTCTTCCTGAGAGCATCTGTGTTTACACAGTCTTTGAGTATAATCCTTAAAATGGTAACATCTCTGACAGCCCACCTGTCACTAGGACTGGTTACCTATTTCTGCTATGTACATTCCCACTGAGAAAAAAACCTTGTACATAAGTTGTGAAGCAGCCCCAAATCTTTAGAAAAAAACTATTCCCTCTGTTAGGTCATGGTTCGGCATGTAAGGAGCTGAATTCCCACAGCATTGTATTCTTTTATAACATACTTCCTTTTTTGCAAATGCTAGGCCAATAAAAAGCCCCACAAGAAGCACCATTAATGATGACAATTTATTAGGAAATCAAGATGGAAAGAGCTGTATAAAGCACGTACTTGGAAGTATAAAGAACCAAAAGCGCTCTCTCCCATTCTGTCCTGGGCAGGATTCTCATCATTAATTCTACAGGCTTATGGGTATATCAAACTGGGCAAGAGGCACCTGCTTTTCTCAGGCAGATTTCCTTTATACTTCGCTTCAATTCCTTGTGCAGAAAAAGAATTCCAGTTTAAAAAAGGACAGACTTTGGTCTGCAGTGGGAAGAATATGGTGAGTGGCCTTCATGTGCCCAGTGGGAGATTTTGTACACATCTGCAGCTAGAGTAAGGTAGTCCAGCACTACTACAAGGGTCCAGGCTGCCGGCGCACTCGGCCTTTCTTGCTTTCTGGGGGATGCTGCTGCCAGTTAGGGTTCCAGGCCTTTTGCCTCTGCCTTTTCCTCTCCTTGCAAAACTCGTCCAAATTGGTGCCAGGTGCTCCTAAGGCCCATGAATAGCCCTTGTAAGGAAATGGAAGCTCCAACCTGTGGCTGGTGCTGGGTGAAGCTCCAGCTTCCTTTGTGCTCTTGCTTTGCCTGGAGATTAATGCCTCCACAGCCTGGTGTCCAATGATGCGCAGGTTGTAGGAGCTGAGTGTTTGGGAAAAGGAGTGATCCGTTCCTTGGCAGTGGTAGGTACCAGCATCCTGTTGTGATAGCTGACTAATCAGCAGCCCTTGTTCTAGAATGAAGAAGCGGTCGCTGCTCCGAATCTGCAAGGGACCCAGATCATATTTTGTTTAGCATTGGACTTGGTTGTAACTACAGGGCTAATAAGGTATTCACATTTCATTCACTACATAATAAGATCAACCATTTCCTATTCCTTTGCACAGCAGCAGATTCCCATGGCTCCCCAAGGGATCCTCCCTACTCTTTGTTTCACCCAGTACCTCCTCCAGAGCGACTGTATTGCTGTGCTGCACAAGCCAACGAATGGTGGTCTGGGGAGAATGTGGAAGGCATTCAAGAAAGGTCGAGTTGTTCTGCACGCCAAAGATCACCATTTCTTCAGCCACAAAGGTTCCTGCGTGGAAATAAAAGAGAAGAGTGCATGACCAGTGAGACAAAAATGCTTTCCAGTCATCACTGAAGATTCTGTAACAACTATGAAACAAAATCTCTCATTGTTTATATAGGGCAGTGGTTCCTAACCTGTGGTCCGCAGACCACCAGTGGTCCGCAAGAATGAAAATATGGTCCATGCCTTCATTGTTACTACATTGTTGCCTCGAAACCACATGGCAATGAGAGCAACTGTTCTTGTAAAACCCTCTTATAGTGCGAAATCCTCTTATAGATGTCGGGAGAGGAGAGGCTGACCACCCACGAAAGATTACTACTACCACATAAGTTCTAGATTATTAAATATGGTTTTCTGTGGGCAAGCAGATGGCAACTACTGGATGGCATATGTTCTGTATCCAAAAGTAGAGCTGATGTGGTCTATCCAATGCAATTTTCTGAATCAACACCCCCAAATAACCAAACCGAATCTAAAGTTCACCAAAAACTGATTTGTAACCCTTTCAGTACTAATGTTGGAGAGTGGTTCCTGATCAAAATGATCCCTGGTCAAAAAAAAAGGTTAAGAACCATTGATATAGGGGGAGAAAGGACTGCAAAGTTTTCCATTGTTCCACAAAAGCCAGACATTTTAATTTATGGCACAACACCATGATTCAGCAGAGAATGGGCATTTGGTAGAACTAACACAGGGATCTATAGAACACACCACTCCCTCCATACCGTTATGTTCCTTGCCTTGTTTAGAGAACAGCTCTGCCTAATCAGCAAAGCTCATTGTGTATGTTCACTTCGGTTTAATCTGGTACGTAATTTATTAGATTTAAGACTTGGCCAAGGGTCTTCTAAACCTCTTTCCAGACTTTGTGTTGTGACTCATTAAATGTCAGAACACTTAGGTGTGTCATGTGAATGTAACAAGAAACGTCTGAGTAATAAATATTGTATTTTAAGATATAAATTAAAGGTTTTCATGTGATATGTTGTGTTCCCCATACATTTTTATCACAGTTTATGTATGTGTCTATACATACATAAACTGCAATACCTCCAGTTTGCTTGTGAAACTAAGTTACTGTGTTGCGAAATGATGCATGTCTAAAAAGTATATCACCAACCAACATGAAATATTTGGAAGACTCTGCTCTACAATCTGAATTTGGCCCTTTCAGAGTTTTGTAAGCATCTAGAGTGGTACAAAGGCACCTTGAGGGTGTATCAACATATGATACAGACCTCACTACCTCTGAGGATGCTTGCCATAGATGCAGGCGAAACGTCAGGAGAGAATGCCTCTAGAACATGGCCATATAGCCCGAAAAAAATCTACAACAACCCAATGATACATTTTCTTTTAGGTCCTGCTGTAGGGAAAATGCCAAGGTGCAGAAAGAAAGGTAGATATGCAGTTTTATGAAAGTTCTGCCTTTCAACCAATATATCACTTCATCAAGGCACTCCTTTTGCTGTACCAATCCGAGTGCCCTTGTGAGGGATGTCCCTATGTTGACTGTGCATTTTGTCTCTCTTTCTATGCTGGGGGCAGCACCATGTGAGGTGTCCAGAAATGGCACATGATAGGAGATGCTTGTCATCCCTGCTGCCTAATTAACGGAAAGGGGCTGCTGCTGACATCATTCCTTGAGGAAGTGTGTTGTGTTCTCTGAATCTCCACAACTTGAGTCAAACTTCCTCCTCACTTTGGCTCTGAATGCCAGTATAAAAACACAGTGTCACTTCCTCTGTGGTATACTGGGTGAACATTTTTTTCCACTGATATTATGCAGCATTCCCACACTATTGCTATTTGTCCATTAAACTCCCCCCCCCCCCCCCGCATTCTGAGTGACCTGGAGGGGCAACTCTGAAGTGGCACTTCCCCTGTCATGAGGAGGGTGATGATAAGGAGCAGGGGCCCCTATGTTACTTTAATACTACATTTTCAGCTAAGCAGATTAAACAATAGTTGGTTCAAAGTGGGGGCTCTCTAACTAGGTAGTGGGAAGCCATCTAACTATTCAGCAGTTTATCAAAACGTGTTGCCAGCTATGCAATCATATTCTTCCCCCTACTATAGGGTTGGCTGTTTGAGCTTAACTAGCTCTGGCAATCATTAAATACTTCCCCGAAAGGAAGATAAAAGCTCTGATTACTATTTCAAGCGCTTGCTAACTGTTTGCTGCCTTCCCTCCACTTCAAAGGTGAGAGGGCTATGAGAGAGAAGGGCTGTGAAGTGTCTTCTTCCATTTTAGAAATGGATGCAAGTACTTTACTAAGTTTAAACATCTAGGTAAACACCAAGAACTGTGTGCCTCCTCTTTTACTATGAACATTCTAAATATGCTATTGGTTTTGGAAGCTCAATAGTGTCAGCCCTGGTGAGTACTTGGATGGGACACAGTCAATGAATACCAGATGCTGTAGGCTATATTCAGATGAAGGGACTGTGGAGCCCCTGGTGGCACAGCAGGTTACAGTGCTGAGCTGCTGAACTTGCTGATCGAAAGGTTGGTGGTGAGCTGCTGTTAGCCCCAGCTTCTGCCAAACTAGCAGTTCAACTGGTACTGCTTCTGCAGGAACATAACCTTGGAGGCATCTATGGACAACTCAGGCACTTCAACTTAGAAATGGAGATGAGTACCTCCCCTCTGAGTAGGACATGACTAGACTTAATGTCATGAGGAAACCTTTACCTTTACCTATGCCTTGCCTAAGAAAACCCTATGAACATCATGGGGTTGCTATAAGTCAACAGGTGACCTGAAGGCACATAGCTACACAAGTCCTGACAGCAAAATTCAATCCAAAGAATTGAGTTTTTCTACTTACCTCCTACCCTCAAAATATGTTTTTCAGATCAGGAGACACTTAAAGGTTCTTTATATCAGAGTGAATGGATGGGAGTGCAGTTGGGCAGAAAGGAAAATATGGCCACCTGACTTTTCAGGCCAAGCTGCTGCTCTTAGCCACAGAGAAGGGAGAGGCAGTCCCCACAGACACTTACAGGAATAACTGGCCAAGGATTTGTTTTATATAGACTTTTTTTTAAAAAAGTATCCAATTATGCAAGAATTACTATTGCCAGACAATATAGTGTTTTTCATGTACAAGGTGCAATTTTGAAATGAAATACTACATATCATGATTAATCCTATTGGGAGAGATCTCAGCATGAGGAAAGAAATTCAGGATGTCATGTATGGGATTTAGTGAAGTTTCCATTCAGAAGTGAACAAAGCAACATAGAGGGAATGGTGCTTTTCAGCGTCTTTTAGTGTTAGGCAATTCAGAGTGCTTTATTGTTGTTGTTGTTCATTCGTTCAGTCGTCTCCGACTCTTCGTGACCTCATGGACCAGCCCACGCCAGAGCTCCCTGTCGGCCGTCACCACCCCCAGCTCCTTCAAGGTCAGTCCAGTCACTTCAAGGATGCCATCCATCCATCTTGCCCTTGGTCGGCCTCTCTTCCTTTTGCCTTCCACTTTCCCCAGCATAATTGTCTTCTCTAGGCTTTGTCTCCTCATGATGTGGCCAAAGTACTTCAACTTTGTCTCTAGTATCTTTCCCTCCAATGAGCAGTCGGGCTTTATTTCCTGGAGGATGGACTGGTTGGATCTTCTCGCAGTCCAAAGCACTCTCAGCACTTTCCTCCAACACCACAGTTCAAAAGCATCGATCTTCCTTCGCTCAGCCTTCCCTAAGGTCCAGCTCTCACATCCGTAGGTGACTACAGGGAATACCATGGCTTTGACTAGGCGGATCTTTGTTGTCAGTCTGATGTCTCTACTCTTCACTATTTTATCGAGACTGGACATTGCTCTCCTCCCAAGAAGTAAGCGTCTTCTGATTTCCTGGCTACAGTCTGCATCTGCAGTAATCTTTGCACCTAGAAATACAAAGTCTGTCACGGCCTCCACGTTTCTCCCTCTATTTCCCAGTTGTCAATCATTCTTGTTGCCATAATCTTGGTTTTTTTGACGTTTAGCTGCAACCCGGCTTTTGCGCTTTCTTCTTTCACCTTGATTAGAAGGCTCCTCAGCTCCTCCTCGCTTTCGGCCATCAGGATGGTGTCATCTGCATATCTGAGGTTGTTAATGTTTCTTCCAGCAATTTTCACCCCAGCCTTGCATTCATCAAGCCCCGCACATCGCATGATGTGTTCTGCATACAAGTTAAAAAGGTTGGGTGAGAGGATGCAGCCTTGCCGTACGCCTTTCCCAATCTTGAACCAGTCTGTTGTTCCGTGGTCAGTTCTGACTGTTGCTACTTGGTCCTTGTACAGATTCCTCAGGAGCGAGACAAGGTGGCTTGGGATGCCCATCCCACTAAGAACTTGCCACAATTTATTATGATCCACACAGTCAAAGGCTTTAGAATAGTCAATGAAGCAGAAGTAGATGTTTTTCTGAAACTCCCTGCCTTTCTCCATTATCCAGCGGATATTGGCAATCTGGTCTCTCGTTCCTCTGCCTTTTCTAAACCCAGCTTGAACATCTGGCAACTCTCATCCATGTATTGCTGGAGTCTTCCTTGCAGGATCTTGAGCATTACCTTACTGGCATGAGAAATAAGGGCCACTGTACGGAAATTTGAGCAGTCTTTCGCATTTCCCTTTTTTGGTATGGGGATATAAGTTGATTTTTTCCAGTCTGATGGCCATTCTTGTGTTTTCCATATTTGCTGGCAAATGGCATGCATCACCTTGACAGCATCGTCTTTTAAGATTTTAAACAGTTCAGCTGGGATCCCGTCGTCTCCTGCTGCCTTGTTGTTAGCAATGCTTCTTAAGGCCCATTCAACCTCACTCCTCAGGATGTCTGGTTCTAATTCATTCACCACACCGTCAAAACTATCCTCAATATTATTATCCTTCCTATACATATCTTCTGTATAGTCTCGCCAACCTTCTCTTGATCTCTTCAGCTTCTGTTAGGTCCCTGCCATCTTTGTTTCTTATCATACCAATTTTTGCCTGAAATTTACCTCCAATGTTTCTAATTTTCTGGAAGAGGTCTCTTGTCCTTCCTATTCTGTTGTCTTCTTCCACTGCCATGCATTGCTTATTTAAAAATAGTTCCTTATCTCTTCTGGCTAACCTCTGGAATTGCGCATTTAACTGGGCATATCTCCCCTTATCCCTGTTTCCTTTTGCTTTCCTCCTTTCTTGGGCTACTTCCAGTGTCTCAGCAGACAACCATTTTGCCTTCTTGGTTTTCTTTTTCTTTGGGACGTAATTTGTTGCCGCCTCCTGAACAATGTCTCGGACTTCTGTCCATAGTTCTTCTGGGACTCTGTTTACTAAATCTAGTCCTTCAAATCTGTTCTTCACTTCCACTGTATATTCGCTAGGAATGTTAGTGAGATCATATCTAACTGGTCTGTGTATTTTCCCTGATCTCTTTAGTTTTATTCTAAATTGTGCAATAAGAAGTTCGTGATCTGAGCTACAGTCAGCCCCAGGTCTTGTTTTCACCGACTGGATGGATGTCCGCCACCTTTGGCTGCAAAGGATGTAGTCAATCTGATTTCGGTGTTGACCATCTGGTGAAGTCCATGTGTATAAAGCCGTCTTTTAGGTTGTTGGAAGAGAGTATTCGTTATACACAGCGAGTTTTCCTGGCAAAATTCTATCAGCCTGCGTCCCGCTTCATTTTGTTCTCCCAGACCATGCTTGCCTGTGATCCCAGTTGTCATTTGACTTCCCACCTTGGATTCCAGTCTCCTGTAATGAAAATAATGTCTCTTTTTGGTGTATTATCCAGTAGGTGCTGCAGATCCACATAGAACTGATCTACTTCTGCTTCATCAGCAGCTGTGGTTGGGGCATATATTTGGATCACTGTGATGTTAAAAGGCTTTCCTTGCACTCGAATTGAGATCATTCTGTCATTTTTTGGGTTGTATCCAAGCACTGCTTTCGCGAATTTCTTATTAATTATGAAGGCTACTCCATTTCTTCGATGTTCCTCTTGTCCGCAGTAGTAGATCTGGTGGTCATCTGATGTGAAGTGGCCCATTCCAGTCCATTTCAGTTCGCTGACCCCCAGAATGTCTATCTTTAGTCTTGACATCTCACCAATAACAACATCCAGTTTGCCCTGGCTCATAGATCTTACATTCCAGGTTCCTATGGTGTGTTGATCTTTAGAGCATCGGATTCGTCGTTCACCTCCAGTACCGTCGGCCGCTAGCCTTCCTTTCGACTTTGAGCTAGCTGCGTCATCACATCTGGGGCTAGTTGAACTTATCCTCTGCTCCTCCCCAGTAGCATTTTGGCCATCTTCCGACCTGGGAGTCCCATCTTCCAATGGCATACCGACATATCTCTGGTTGTACTGGTCCATTTAATTTTCTTGGCAAGGATACTGGAGTGGTTTGCCATTGCCTTCCCCAGGGATCACGCTTGGTCTGACCTCTCTGCCACAACCGTCCCGTCTTGGGTGGCCCTTCACGGTTTCGCTCATGACAGCATTGAGGTGCTCAAGCTCCAGCGCCCCGACAAGGCGGTGATCCTTTGCTGGAGGAGTGCTTTATTAGTCAGGCAAAAGTCACCATAATGGAAGAGTACAATGGTAAATGCAGAAGCACCAGCTTTTGTTAGAGGTTAAGAGGTTAAGAGTTAAGAGTTTCTCTTAAAGGTGCAGAGAAAGGCCACCCAACAAAGCAATATCAATCGCATCCAGCAGTGCTTGCATTAAACAGAACCAGAGTTGGGTTTATATTAACATGGATGCCTAAATCCCAGTTTGACAGTGTTTATGGAAAGTCAGGTGAGTGCCTCCAATTACCCAGCTGTGGCTAAAATACTAATGAAAGATCTGTGATAACCATGACTCTCAATGTAAACCAGGGAGCACTTTAAATGAAATGGATGTTGTCGGGGGCTACGTTTAATCCCTTCACCACTTAAGCAAGTGTTGTATGGGTTACTCAACCTGGTAGTGCTGGGTAAAAAAAGAGACGCTGGATATATTTCTACTAAACGATGATTCATAGGTATAGTGAAGCCTGCCTTACTGTGAAGGGCTGGGTTAAGTGGCCTTTGGAATGTTTTCCACCTCTGAATGGCATTATACATGCTCCATCTCCATTCATAAGTGGACTCAGTGAGTGGCTCTTGACTAGAGAGTGAAATATCTACAAAGAAATGATACTTTTATTGGCCAACCAAAATGCATCAAACATTGAAGCCTTGCAAAAGATAGAGACACCTTGGATCGTAAAAGGAATGACTTCACTGCTGCTCGTGGAGTTTGAATCTTACTGTCCTTTGCCTTGGTTACCAACTAGCCAAAAATGGGAGAGTGGCCTCTGATTGCATTGAGATCCCTCCAGATCAGCGTTTCTCAACCTGGGTGTCGGGATCCCTGGGGAGGGGTCGCAAGGGGGTTTCAGAGGGGTTGCCAAAGATTATCAGGAAACTCAGTATTTTCTGTTAGTCATCGGGGTTCTGAGTAGGAAGTTTGGAACAATTCTATCATTGGTGGGGTTCAGAATGCTCTTTGACTGTAGGTGAACTATAAATCCCAGCAACTACAACTCCCAAATGTCAACGTCTATTTTCCCCAAACTCTATCAGTGTTCACAATTGGGCATATTGAGTATTTGTACCAACTTTGGTCCATATCCATCATTGTTTGAGTCCACAGTGCTCTCTGAGTGTAGGTGAACTACAACTCCAAAACTCAAGATCAGTGCTCACCAAACCCTTCCTATATTTTATGTTGGTCATGGGAGCTCCGTGTGCCAAGTTTGGTTCAATTCCATCATTGGTGGAATTCAGAGTGCTTTTTGATTGTAGGTTACCTATAAATTCCAGCAACTACAAATGACAAAATCAATCCCCCCACATACAAATACTTGATACGTCCCTCCACCAGTATTCAAATTTGGGTGTATTGGGTATTTGTGCCAAATTTGGTCCAGTGAATAAAAATACATCCTGCATATCAGATATTTACATTACGATTCATAACAGTAGCAAAATTACAATTATGAAGTGGCAACGAAAATAATTTAATGGTTGGGGGTCACCACAACATGAAGAACTGTATTAAGGGGTTGCGGCATCAGGAAGGTTGAGAAACACTGCTCCAGACCAACTGACCAACAGAAACAACGCCTGGTACCATATAGTCCTGCTATTCCAACACTATCATGTTTCTCTTCTTCTCCTGAATGATTTTAAAATGTATTTTGCCTAATGAAGGAACTACCAGAGCTTGGAAAGCTTGCATGAAGTATTTTGTGCATTATGCTCGGTCAATAAAGGTACCATTCTTTTGTGGCTTTTGTTTTATTTTGCTGTACAGCCTACACAATTAAGCCTGGAAATGTTTCCTGGAAAATCTGTTCAATTTGACTTTTAAACTCTGTTGCAGCTGATGAATTTGGGTACATTCTTCAGAGATGAATAGAAAGGTATCACTTTAGAAAGGTATAGCTCTTCCCAGCACAAAGAGAAACTTCTTGTCCCTTCTTGTCATGTAGCTGTTAAAGATCGGAATCATCTCAAGAAGGAAAGAAAAAGAGAAATGACAATTCAAACATGGCCATCATACAGGCACCCAAAGCCAGGAATTTAAGGACAAATTCTCCAATAACTTGGGTCTCAGTCACTATATTTGCCACTTTTGGCTTCTGACTTTCAGTTTTTTTAAAAAAAAAACCTCTCATGCTTTTTCTATCCCAAATATAAAAGCATTTACAAAACTCTTATCAAAGTTGAACTGAACTGAAATTCTTACCTAAATCACCCCTTTTTCTTGACTCACCTTTTGCAGCATTTTGGCACCGCCCAGCTGGGTTGGCCTTCCGCATATTTTGGCACTGTGTTCTTCTGCAGGGAAGACAACCAGTACGTATATTTAGCATACGGTTGGACAAAGGCCAAGCCCACGAAGCAGAATTAACCAACTATATATAGTGAAAATGTACATTAAGCAGGTGGTGCCTAATTCTCCACTCACACACCTCAGTGTCCTCTCTCCACCCCAGGCCTTGCTGCCTAATTGTGGGCAGAATGTAGCAGGGAGGCAATTCAGAGGATGAAGTAGCAGCTGGACTCAGTCCAACAGGGAAGAAATGAAGGCGCATTCACAGATGGGGGCACCCCCTTTTCCCTTCCTATCAAAGTCCAGAGCAGACTCATCTTCATAGTCTCATCCCCCCCCCCCATCCCTTCCCTCTGGAATGCAGACTCAGTGATGGTGTCCCTTGTGGGACTGGATAGCTCCCAGTGGAAGGTTTTGTACTCAGTGTAATAGACCAGTGAAGCGGTTCTTAAATTGTGCTCCAAGGAGATATTTATTTATTTATTTATTTATTTCGGGTACTTTTACCCCGCCCTTCTCAACCCCCGAGGGGGGACTCAGGGCGGCTTACAAAAAGGCACAATTCGATGCCTACATAGAATACATATACATATAAAAACAGCAATCAAACAATTATCACAGTTAAAACAGTCAGTATATAACACAATCAATAAAAATAAAAACACAATCAATAAAAAACTAATCTCGAGCTCAGCGTTCGTCTTTCAGAGTTCCATAATTCCATTCCACTTTGTCAATTCCTGTCCATTGTCGAAGTCCTTCTTTATCTGCCCGATTGTCCGAATGCCTGGTCCCAAATCCATGTTTTCAGTTTTTTCCTGAAGGAAAGGAGGGATGTCGCTGTTCTAATTTCCCCGGGGAGTGAATTCCACAGGTGAGGGGCCACCACCGAGAAGGCCCTGCTCCTCGTTCCTGCCAATCTCACTTGTGATAAAGGCGGGGTCGAGAGCAGGGCCTCCCCAGAAGATCTTAAACTTTGAGGTGGGATGTAGAGGGAGATCCGTTCGGACAGATACACTGGGCCGGAACCGTATAGGGTTTTGTAGGTCAAAACCAGCACTTTGAATTGTGCTCGGAACTGGATCAGCAGCCAGTGGAGCTGACACAACAGGGGGGTGGTATGCTCCCTGTATGATGCTCCGGTGAGCAATCTGGCTGCCTCTCGCTGGACTAGTTGGAGTTTCCAAACAGTCTTCAAAGGCAACCTCACGTAGAGTGCATTGCAGTAATCTAATCGGGATGTAACAAGAGCGTGAAAGGGGCTCTGCACTTCCATCCTCTTCTTTCCTCCTTTTCCTGTTCCAAGGGCATGCAATGTCATCATTGTCCAACAAGGGCACTGACCTTTTCCAGGTGCCCCCCTCGCCTACCAGACCCCTTTCTAGGGATCCTCTTGCCACATAGATCCTTATAATTTTTTTACAGAGGCTGGATGGCCATATTTTGGGAGTGTTTTGATTGTCCTTTTACTACATAGCAGAAGGTGGTTGGACTGGATGGCCCCTAGGGTTGCTATTATTATTATTATTATTATTATTATTATTATTATTATTAGATACACAACAAGATTAGTACACAGCAAACAAGATCACTATGCTGGCTTTTGTATTTAAACACACGTCGGACAGTTCGGAAGTGTCTAAGACCGTGTGATGTATTGGCGAATAATGTGTGCAGATCTGAGTAGGGTGACCTTTTTCAGCTGACAGATGGTAATTTTGTCAGCATTTATTATTTTTCAAGTGTAGGCCAAGGTCTTTAGCCACTACACCCAGTGTGCCTGCTGTTATTATTATTGTGGTTATTATTATTATTACTACTATTATTACTACTACTACTACTACAAAGGCTGAATGGCCATTGTGAGCGCTTTGAATGTGCTTTTTCTGCATGATAGAAGGGCGTTGGACTGGATAGCCTCTGGGATCGTCCATTAAAATACTGTTAAGTTTATGTTGGTTATGTTTATGTTTGTTATGTTGTTCTACATTTTGAATATTGTATTGTTCTTTCATTCTTTTGCACTACAAATTAGATATGTGGACTGTGCATAGGAATTTGTTCATTTTTTTCCAATTAGTTCAAACAACACTCTCCACCCATCTGCTACCATCCTGGCCTGTCTGTCAAATTTTAGTGGAGAGGACACTGACTTGACAGTCTAGAAGATATCTTCCATGCACCCTTAATGACAAGATAGTGATCCTCCCTGGCTGAATGTTTCTAGAGGGATTTGTGAAAGAGAAAGTGCATGAGAGGAAGGGACTCCAGAACTGTTTTTTAAGGTGGAAATAGTCCCAGAAAAGCCCATAATAGGGTCTCTGTAGGGACCTCGTTAAATTGGAAATAATTTGAAGGCACTTAACAACAAACAGGTGGAATCTCATTAATTTTGCCTAGTTAGTTTACCAATAATATGGCTGCACAATACATATTTAATTAATATATTTGATCTGACAATTTCATTTTAACAGGCTGTTTATATTTCTTAATATGGTGCTCAACTCCAAAAGCACATCCAGGGGGAGCATGGATGAACTCCCTCGGTCAGCTCCAGCTCCTTATGTGGAGATACGAGAGAAACCTCCCATCCAGGCGTCCACTGGGCAACATCCTTGCAGACAGCCAATTCTCTCACACCAGAAGCAACTTGCAGTTTCTCAAGTCACTCCTGACACACACACACACACACAATCTCCCAAAGCTATCCCAACATATTTTGTGCTTCATTATTTAATTCCTGGTATGACTCAAATACACAGAAGTTTAGGTGGTCCAATTTTGTCCGGAAAATTTCAGAAGAGGGGTTTCACTTGTCTAAGAGAAAGGCAATGCCAACCTCACTACCACCACCATGGTCCAGAGCCTACATTAAAGCAAAGGCTAAGCCTTGCAATGAGTGAGAAAATCAAGGGCTTCACCTTTTTTTAGTGAGTAAATAGGGCTTGCAGGCTTTGCCATCCCAGGTGCAGTAGGGATCTTGAGCCAGGCAGCATTCGACACAAGCTTTGCCATACAGTTCACAGCGGTGAAGGGAGAGCTGGACCACACAATTGGCGCTGCTCACAAACACTTCCTGCTGCTCAAGGAGAGAGAGAGAAGGGGCTGAAACCATCTCAGTTTTATTGCTCAAATATGTGAAGAAGAAAAAAACCCTGCCTCTCCCTTACTCTAGAACAGGCATGGGCAAACTTTGGTCCTCCAGGTGTTTCGGACTTCAACTCCCACAATTCCTAACAGACTACTGGCTGTTAGAATTGTAGCAGCTAAAGTCCAAAACACCTGGAGGACTAAAGTTTGCCCATGCCTGCTCTAGAGGAACATGTTGTTCATTAGCAACCAAGCACTTACCCTTTTTAGAGAAAGCTGCATGTCGAGGATGGGCAAAGGCTTCTACAAAAAAAAAAGAACAGCAGTCATTTAAATAGACACAGAAAACCCTTGCTGAATTAAGTAGGTGCATTCCTGAAGTTTTATCCCAATATAGATTTGTGTGCCCTTAAATCTAGGCTGGCCCATTTCTGATATCCTATATTTAAAACTAAAGAACACAGAAATCTTGGTTTGGCTACGCCTTTAAAAAAAAATCTTAACCGTACTGAGCTGAGGGTTGAAATAGACTGCCCAAGGAGCCCCTTCGAACCTTGTGATGCTATAAATTATCTGGGATTTCCCTTTATTTCATATATCAACACAGCCTATAATGCAAGTGGACATCCATCCACACAGAGGAATTTTCGGAAGTACTCAATGGATGACATGCAGAAACTCACCTGTGACAACAAAGAGGACTGGAATGAACCTCAGGACTGAGATTCACCAAATAATTGGGTGTATATTTTGTGATTTAAAAAAAATTAAAAATTTCATATCTGGAGAAACTGCAAGTCACTTCTGGTGTGAGAAAATTGGCCATCTAAAACGATGTTGCCCAGAGGACACCCAGATTTCTTTGATGTTTTATCATTCTTGTGGAAGTCTTCTCTCATGTCCCTGCATGGGGAGCTGGAGCTGACAGAGGGAGTTCAACCCACTCTCCCTGGATTCGAACTGCTGACCTGTCAGTCAGCTGTCCTGCCAGCACAAGGTTTTAACCCACTGCGGCAATGGAGGCTCCATTATTTTGTGAAGAATTTGTACAGGAGCCTCCAACTTCCTATGATGTATGGAGACATTTTAAATTGACCCCTTTACCCCTTTAAATTGAGCCCTTTACCCCTTTACAGTAATTCTATTTATATGCTTTCCCCATTTAGTCTGACCAGTTTAACACTGATGAATATAACAGGGGCGGCAGGGGCAATGATAACCTTCCTGGGAAGATCAATGGGATTTCATTCTTGTCCTGAAGCTAAATATTGCAACCGGGGGGGGGGGGGGGGGGGGGGGGCACAGAAAAGGTAAACCAATGTTATTCCCACTTAGAGATGTGCCACTGAAACATATAATTCATTACTAACAAGTCCCATTCCTTTCAGATGCTTTATTTTGATTGCGATTAATATTTAATTTAGCCTAAAGTGCATATCTGCAGTCAACATAAATGTGTCACAATAGGCATCTCTACAAGGCTACCAAGATGGATCCATATCCATAAATATATTTAAGAGTGAAAACAGACTTCCACATACCTTTGAAATACTGATCTCCTCCAGGCTAATCTCCTGCAATTCTTGTCCTCCTGTGCTAGCAACCCTCACCTTCAGCACTTTACCATCATCTGTCAGAAGCCGAACAAGAAGATATATCAGAGAAAAGGAGGCTGTGTTCATTCATCCTACAAGGGATTACTCAGGTCATAACCATCCAAGGGAAGAAAAGCAGTCTACTTCAGCAAATTCAATAGATCATCTCTGAGAGATGTTTACATCAGACATTAAACAATGATAAAGAGAGGCTGCTAAAACCTGATACTGACAGCCCTCTTTATTCACGGATTGAATCAACCATAGCTGAAAAACACCCCTTCCACCAAAAAATTCCAATAAACAAGGGGTTAGTGTTAGGGTTAAGGTTGCAATTTTATATGACTTATGCTATTTTACTATGTCACTGGATATAATGGAACTTGACCATCCAAGGATTTTGTTATCTATATGGGTTCTGTAACCAACTCCCCAGTAGATACGTATATACACCTAAACCCAATATATAAACATTCAATAGAAAAATTTAAAAGACTGTTAACATATGCTACATTTGATTTCCCTGGTAAATAACTTCCCAAGCATTTTCATCATGCCTATGTCCAAAAAAGAGCAAAAATATGCTTTATTGTCAACTTATTAAACAGAGCCAAAAACAACATGGAGCCCTACATGATAATTATTATTTTGGTCTTAAAGGTCTTAAAGCAGTAGAGGGTCAGGAAGAAAGAGTTTCACTACAGTATTTTAAAATTTTCTCCCCAATGAGATCAAAACATCCTTCCTAAATCAGATGTGAATCTTGGACAGAGCACTAACATGTCCTTTCTGTTCCTAGAGTCTCAAGTAAAAAGAGGCAGAAACATTATCATTTCAATCTATTGCAAATGTTGAAAGTACACAATCTGTAAGTGTTGAAAAGAGCAAGTTCCCCTCAATATTCCTCAATCTATCCACACATGAAGGTACATCTTTGTAGCTACCTTTTAGGGCCTATCAGGGTACATTTTTTTCACATATGATTTATAAGGTTTGGGGGAACGGCAGAAGGATGGCGTCCGCATCTGCCCCATTTCAAGTCCACTGTTCTGGACTTGATTGCCTAAACCTTTCCCTTTGCAAAAAAAGCTCCAAGTGACCAAGGAGCTGCATTGACACTGGCAGAATGGTCTCAGTTTGCTGAGGCATGTATGCAGTAAAAAATGCAATTTACAAAGGGTGAGATGCAAAAAAACAAAACAAAAACAAAACCTATCACAAAGTTTTCTTGGCAGGATTGTTCAGAAAGAGATTGGTTTTGCTTCCATTATTTCTGCAGCTCAACAGTCCTTCCTCATTTACCAAAGAGAAATCTTAGTTATTCTATAACCATAATACATTTTGGACCCTATCCATACTTTTTCCCAGCTGTGATTTTTGCTGAGATGAAACTATTAGAAAGATTGCAAGCTGTGCTCAGGATGCGAACTCATTGAGACCTGTTATGATACTTCCTTTGATATTTCCCGTTTTGCTAAGAGTTTCTAACATTGTTTTGATAGCTGCTGTAGCCTATGGCTGATGTTTTTAGTGGTCTCTATCCAAAGAGATGGCCTATCATTCAAGAACCCACTATTATATTTTTATATATATTAAATCAGCCTCTTTCTGTTTAAATCTGATTGATAGGGGCAGGATAAATATTGTACACATTTGAAAAGTCACTTTTTAAGTAGAGTTATGTTGGAAATGACATAAGTCAACACACTACTTGAAGGTACATACACATACACACAGATACATGTTGTTATTGGTAAATTTCATCAAACTAACTTTATGGTGAGCTGATGCCAGAATGACCTTCATGTACACTGATATGAATGGTCCTGCTCAGGTCTTGTGAACTCAGGTTAACTGTGGCTTCCTTAATTAAATCTTCCCATTGTATTTACCTTAAGAAATTTATCAGGCTTTGCAGGGGCTATAATAACTGTGTATAAAGGAAGTACATAGACCTGATGGTGTTCTGAGCCAAGAGAGAGGAGATGGAAGTAGATATGTCAGTCAGAACTGCCTCACTGTTGCTGCTGTATAGAACTGACAGGTGACATGGCAGGAAGAGAGTTGGATTCCTCCATCTGTAATTGCTTCTCTTCAAGCTCCATGGAACATGAGGCATAGAGGGTCTCAAGCCTCCTGTGCCCTCCCAAAAAGACTTCCGATTCTTTGTGACCTCATGGACCAGCCCACACCAGAGCTCCCTGTAAGCCATCGCCACCCCCAGCTCCTTCAAGGCCAAGCCAGTCACTTCAAGGATACCATCTATCCATCTTGGCCAGTCCCTCTACCTTTTTCCTTCCTTTTCCCCCAGGGTCATTATCTTCTCTAAGCTTTCCTGTCTTCTCATTATGACTAGCCCCCATGAAACAATCTGAAAAATTGGACCACTTACGTAGTCAAGTCTCCTTGGGAATTATCAGAAATGTATTAAATAACAAAGCAGTGAACAACAAAGGAATATTAAGAAAGTGATTGTTATTGAGTCCTCCTAGGACTAATTATGGTTGCCTGCAATCTATTTGTGCACATTTACAAGGAAAAAAGCTACATTGAGAACATGGAAGAACCTGAATAGACCTTCACCTTCCAAGATACTTCATATTTAAGGATATTTCAGTGTTGATAAATGGGAAAAATGTGTTTAACCCATGTTAGCTCATCTTACCATCACTTTTGTCTCTACAATGATTAAATTTAACAAGGTTGTTCCCAGTGTTGTAGTCATTATGAAGAACAAGAGTCCTCGCTCCAGAGAAATACATTTCAAGCAGAAGCTTTTTTGGACTCCAGTCAACTTCAAGATCAGCTTATGCTTATTCATTTCAAGCTATGAACTTAAGTTCCCCTGAGCAACCTTATTTTAAAGCTTAAGGCAATTCATGCTGTCTCATAGCTGGAAAGTCCAAATGAAGGGAATATGAGAAGAAGAGTGTTCTAATACCACACAGACACATTTGCTTAGGACCCTCTACCTGTTCCAAGGAAGAGGACATCCACGTGCCCAGCATCTATCTCCACTCTGTCCACTAACAGCTGATGGATCTGGAAGGGGACATTAGCTCGCATCAGAATGGGTTTCCCCTGGAGAGGATAGATGGAGTCCCACATCAGGTGGTGAGTGCGCATGAAGCTGATGACTTCATCAGGAAAATCCTTGGTTGACTGAAGGAGAGGGTCATATGTTTCACTGGGACACTGGCAGAGAGAATGACAGACAGTGAAAATGGGAAGGGGAAGTAGAGCATTAGCATCCAAATTCTCCCAGAAGAAGTAGCCTTGTGGGGCTTTTTGGTAGTGAGATCTTCCAACACTACCAACTCAAACAATAACAACAACAACAAAACCCCAAAGAGACAAATTTTGCCTAAAAATTAAAGTGGAAAAAACATGGTATTATGTGTTTCTGGTTTACTGGGAACCCACTCCTGCAACTAACTAAGGCTGGCTCAAGATGAAAATTGGCTTCTGATCCAACTGCTCCCCCCCCCCCCCCATTTTTGAGGCCCAATTTTTGGCATGTCCTTTTGTACACTAGTGCAGCAAATCAGCTCTTGCCCACCTCGCTTCTCAGTGCTGAGAACAAGTGCCCAAGAACCTGCCATTTAACTGAAAGATATAGAAGTGTATTGACATGCATGCTCTTCTAGGAATGGTGATGCACAAGCCAAAGCATGCAACTGAGAATGCCTATCAATGTGAAGTGTGTGCTGCTGAGTTAATGCACTTCTCCAGTTTTGCTTTCATTGATTTTAGGGATAACTGCTAAACAGAGCCATATGTTTTTATGGCAGACTTGCGGGCTGCATTCACCATATTCCATTGTCTGAGTGTCAATGCAACAAGCAGCAAGATGTGGATTGTGACCTTCGTAACATATATACATACTGTTCCAGGACGGGGATAGGGGATCTTTCCCTTGTATTCAACCCACTGGTACTCCAAGCCTTCCTTGTGGGCAAAGGGTCCATTGAAAGCAGCCCGAATGGCTGCCATGGAGTAAACGCATACTGCAGAACCATTAAAAATGCCACTGAGAAAGAAGATAATTGCATAAGGGATAGAGACCTGCTACAATCTTTCTTGAGATCTAGAAGCTTTACAATGTGGGCACAACAGACACAGGAGTCTTGCATTCCCCTGGCATGACTACAGTAGGACAAGCAGTGATGGCAGAAAGAAACAGGCTGTGAGTGATGCAGGTGTAAAAATGAGAAGGCACTGCAGAAATCCACTACTCATAGCTATCAGAGTTTTGCCTACCTGCCCTCTCTCACCACAACTGCCTGACCCTGGAAACTGGTATCACAGTGCAGCAAAGTGCTGCTTGTTTTTGTTTAAGAAAAATAGACACTGAAAGAGTTGTATCTTAAACAAGAGACCTGTTGCACAATATTTACTTATTTATTTATTTACTTTATTTGTATACCACCCCTTTCAGCCTTGCGGCGACTCGATGCAACACTAGATTGGCTGAATTCAGTGTCATTCAGAGATTAATTACTTGGATGCTCACAGAGAGCTAATAATGGCAGAGACCCCACCACGTCCAGAACAGTATTGGAAGTGCACAGGTGGAACTTTGGTATGACTCCCCACTCCCAGGGGGCATGGATTGCTGTGGTAGTCCCCCTAAACTCCATGATTGGCGAAGGGGAAGGGGTTGGAGAACCATCTGGAAATGCCCCATAGCCAGATGCAGACCTACAGATTCTTCCAGTGGACACCACTGAATTGGAACCCTGTCTCCATAACCAAGGTCACAAAGTGCTTCTCCCACAAGTTAGCCATGAGTCTTTGCACAAACACTAGGTTTACATGACATGTAATATTGAAACTCAGACATACTGAAGCTGAGCTGTCCCAACACAAGAAATGGCTTTTTCTTACATATTTTGTTCACTTTCACACTCACCTAGACACTGTGAAGAGGCCATAAATAAGAGGGTCCTGAACATTACGAGTACGAAGGAGGAAAACATCCTCTGAGAGGAAAGAAAGAAAAGGGGTAAGATAAACAGGCTGTAACTACCAATTTTCAGGGCTACCAGTATTGTTGTTGTGCTTTCAAGTCATATTTGTCTTATGGGAACCCTATGGGTTTTGTTGATACAATTTATTTGGAAGTGTTTGCTATTGCCTTCTTCTGAGGCAGAAAAAACGTGAGCTGCCCAAGATCACTCAGTGGATTTTCATGGCTGAAGAGGAGTTGTACCTTGATCTCCCCAGCTATGTTACTCACTTTATAAACTGGGTTTAATTATCTCACTCATCTTTGTTGGAGCTAAAACTGCTACATAAGGAGTATAGAAAGCTCACATGCCTCTGGGATGGAGAGGAATGGGAACGGCTCTTTGTGTTGTTTCTGATTTTGGGCTGTGCTTCTGAGATGTAGCAAAGGGTTGGCAACAAGAGCGTTTCCTATGGGGCAGTGTTATAAATGCCCAGATTTTGGGATGGTTATTGAATCACTTTCATTTTGTCAACTCCTCAATGTAAACAAAAGCTAAGATTGATACACCACAGAGTTTGGTACCAGTAATAGTTTTACACCTGAGCAGTGACTGAGAAAGAGATCTCTTTCTGGTTATGACTGGGTGATAAGCCAGAATCAAATGACTGGATTGCTACAGGAGGAAGGAGTTAGAGAATGAAACAAACTTACCCAACTGATCAAAATGTGTTTCAGTACCCTGTAGACTAGGGATGGAGCAGACTAGCCGGGCTTTAAGGAATGTGCTCCAGCGGTTGATGAGGCTGTGCTTCCCACCAACATCATTCTGCCAACCACAAACAGGAGGAGGTCAGGTGTCATCTCCATATTCCAAGCCTGACGTCATGCTATTCTAAGATATTACTCCAACTAGAGTCAGTCCTGACATAGTTATTATGACCTTTCTCAGAAACTCAAACTTGTCATTGTTGCCTTCTGAAGGTCACTTCATGGCCAGGATGCCCATCTTCTTCCATATAGCCTATTCCAATGCACATTTACACAGAACTAAATTCCATGAGTTTGGATGTATGCCACTAAATATATACAAATCTCAGACAGGTTGTTTCACAATTAAAATAGGGTGTAAACTATACATAGGTCTGAGGAGATGTTAAGGGGCACTTCTCTCAGGTCCTCTCTGGGCCTAGTGTGCTTACTACCCTTAATGCTTGTCTATCTCCAAATTAAGACGTGCCAGCTGTATGATAAAAGAATTCTGCTTGGCTCCAAGGATTACTGTGTTCAAAGAGAGAGGGTACTAGAACCTAATTTGCCCTGGTAGCAGCAATGGGGAAAAGGAGAAAAGGAGAAAAAGAAGATATTTAATGTTAACATAACATTTCTTGCAAGTTTCTATTCATCTGCAGTAACTATTATAACAATGTTGGCTTACCTTAGCAGCATTATTAAGGATCTATAAATGTGCCAAGAGCAAGTTGTTCAGATGCTGCACTTAATCTGCAAAACTATATACACATGCTCGGCAGCAAATCCCAATGAACACAGTAGGATGGACTTCCAAGTTTAGATTGCCCAGTTAACCATTAATCATATTGGGATTTATGAAGCTGTCAGCAAATGTCTCAAAATTCCCAGAAGCATCCAAAGGGATATATAAAATTTCTGAAGTGCTTATCAAAATTACTATCTTAGCAAACACCAGGATCAAATATTCAGATCTCTAGGCAACCAAGTGTATATGTTGAGCTAAAGAAGTACATTCTTTGAACTAAGCGATGCCTGTAGCTCACCTTGCAGACCCGGGCCACCCGGGCATAGACGCGCTCTTTCTCCCACTGTCCAGCCTCTACTGCTGTCTCCCGGAAGAAGAAGTACACCTTATCATCATCATGGTTGTAGGTGTCAGGAATGACATAGGCCCCAACAAACACTGGCTCTGAAAGGAAGAAATTTGAATAGAAACAGCACACATCCTGTAGGAACAACACGTTATAACGGATGCAGACCTAGATTTTCCTTTTTTAATTTAAAAAAGATTTTAAGGGCCCTTCCATACAGCCATATAATCCAGAACATCATGGCAGAAAATCAACGACATCTGCTTGGGATTGGGTTATTTGAGTCCACACTGCCATATAATCCAGTTCAATGTGGATTTTATACAGCTGTGTGGAAGGGACCTAAGAAACATGAAGCACAGGCAAAGCCAACTTCCAGGGCCAAATGCAAATTGTGAGATTGGTCTTGCAGTTTCAACCAGGTTGTATTTTCCTTCATTGGGAGAGAAAATGGCATGGATGAAACTGGCTCAGAGACTCCTAGTTGCAAGAAAGCACCACTGTTTGAATTCTCTCTGTTCCCTCCAGCATACAACACTGAACACATTGATTTCAGGTATGATTAATATTTGGATGGGAGACTACTAGGTAATACCTGAATCTCAATGTAGGGCTAGGGAAAATAATTCCTGAAATGCCAGAGAGCAATTGCTGCTGCTCAAAAATGACAAAACTGGACTCCTTATCTAATGTTGCAGTTTCTGGCTCCTCTGACTGACCTTGAAGCCCTGCACTTTCCAAGTTAAATTTCTCACAGAGAGAAGCATATTTCCCCTGACTTGAATCTTCATCACTTCGAGCCCCAGGAAATCCCACAATACTTTCTAAAACATCAGTGAACCCATCAGCCTCAGGAGTCTCAGGCTGATCTCCAAGATCAGTCTGATTCAATAAGAACACTGTCCTTATTTTTGTTATTGCTCATTGTTGGCTGCACAGCATGGCAATAGCAGTCTAATTGCTTGTTACAGACCACCTTCTTAGCAGTTTATTTCCCTACCTCCATTTACCTTTTAACCAATAATCTTGGTTCTGTTCTGTTCGGAGGTAGTTTTGGTCAGCTCTGTCAAGTTGTGTCCGGAAGAAAGCAGCACTGCTACCCATGAAGTCAATGGAAGTGCCAGAATAAAACTCTCCATCTATAAAAGATCATCAATGAGACCTTTATTGACAAAATATACATTCTGTGGGGGCGGATCAAAATTCTGTTGTGCCTAAACTCATTAAAATGGAATTTATTCATGAATGATTTGTCTCGTTATTTAATGTGTAAGTTGGGATCCAACCCTACAATGAGAGGGACATTTCTTTTCTTTCATTACCCTATAATTAAAAGGTTAAAATGATGAAAATTGGACAATTGGATATGGGTTTTATGTAGCTTCCTGCCTTTTTGACTTTAAGCCAGTGAGGCTTTTCCTACCACAGAGATGTAGTAATTTGAAAGGGTATTAGCGGAGCAGAAACTACAATTGAATGAAAACTGTCCTGGAAATGAACCACTTAACACATGAATGGCTTGGTTTTAAACTTTCCCTGCATCATATTCCATAGGTTTACAGTGGTCAAAAGACAGAGTCAGAATCAATATGCTGGCAGATCTCTAGTGTAGATGACTTGAAATAGATCAACAATGCTTTCCAACTCCAGATCAATTAACACAGAAGCTAGGAAATTTAGGGGTCTAAAACTGGTCATGAGGATGAAAAAAGTGATCTCAATTAAGGCATTTTTAGAAGGTATTTAGTTTTTAGGAATTGTATAGAAATACAAATTAACCATTCTGACCCCATACCATTAGCTAAGTGGAGTTTTCTACTAATAACAATATTAATCAGAAATGTAAAGAAGAATTCAACAGAAAATAATTTCCCTTGGTGTTTGCTTAGGAATGTCTACTATGAGTTTATTGACTGCTGTTTAGTTTTGTTGTCACATTTGGACCTATTTATTTATTTACCACATTTGTATCCTGCCCTTCTCAACCTCGAAGGGGACTCAGAGTGGACTTACACATAGGCAATAATTCAATGCTATAAAAATATACAATTAAATAAACAATTACATTGAAATCAAAAATTAAAACATCTAAACAATTACATCAATTACTAAAATCACATTATTAAAATCACACCATTCAGGATCATAGTCCAGGGCCATTCCAGTTGTCATTGCACAGATTCTACATTTATTTATTACACTGCATTTTCTCTCCAAAAGCTTAGCCCCATAGCCATGTTTTAATTTTCTTTCTAAAGGCTAGGAGAGAAGGAGCTGATTTAATATCACTGGGGAGGGAGTTCCATAGATGATGGGCCTCTACTGAGAAGGCACTGTCTCTCGTCCCTACCAACTGTGCCTGCGAAGGATGTGGTACCAAGAGCAAGGCCTCGCCAGATCTAAACCTACGTGATGGTTCATAGAAGGAGATACGTTCAGACAGGTAAGCTGGGCGAGAACCTATGGAGAAATCTTTAGGTCCCCTCCAAACAGCTGAATAAAATCCCACATTATCTGCTTTGAACTGGAATATGCGACAGTATGGACTCAGATAAACCAATTCAAAGCAGATATTGTGGGATGTTCTGCTTAAATGCTGACATCTTGCTTGGTGTATTTTGAACTAAAATTTTGTTAAATAAATTCTTGTTTTTACTCTATTACAGATTCCACTCTGACCTAAAAGTGACAAAAGTTTCCCTAAAATGGTTGAAACACATTCTTGCAATTTGGGTTTGACAGTCCCTTGGCTGTGTTCATTATTTTTCCTCTTACCTGTGAGCAGCCCTGCAAAAGGTTCGTAAGGGTTGTATGGGCACTTGCCTCTCCCAGATCCTACAGAGTATTGCACCAGCTGCATAGTCGGCAGCCCTGGTTCCTACAAAGCACAACAAAGACATTTCAGTTCGAGCAAACGTTATGCTGGAAGCATCACTGCAAACAGGAACCTCATAGTTACTGTATATAAGATGCCATATGCATGGGGAGAAGAAAGCCTCTTCTGCCATTGATGTCAGGTTTTGGCAGTCGAGAAACAAGAGGTCATTTTTTAATACTAAATTTTATTAAGAAGTGAAAAAACAAAACAAAGACAATACAAAGAAAGCAGATTTTGTAATATATAAAACTAATCCTACATCTTACATAACTAATTTTAAGACAGACACACTATGCTTGCACCTACCTATATTAATATACATCTACTAAACAATGACTGAAACTATTCTCCAAACCTCACACTCATTGTTGATTTACTTCTTATCATCCCAATCCATTTAGATAATATTGATAAAAATAAATGAGAAAAGGAAACCAAGACCAGGAATTGCAATGATCTGATACTATACATAGTTGTACATAAAATTCTACCTGTTACATAACTTTTAGAAATAAATATATGAATAACTTATCTTAAACATTTTACCATATTTGTTGTAGTAAAAGAAAACAGTTCATCATTCATTTTCCCACCGGTCCCCCCAACTTTTCTCATACACCCTCATATCATTAGTGTGAATATTAAGAATGCCAGAACAGAATGAATGTCTCTGTCTCCTAAATCACTTATTGATACAAATATTTTCACAGAGAGTTTCTGCAGTGTCAGAAGAAAGGGCAAAAGCATTGACCATGTTCTGACTGGGGCAGGAAAAGTGAATGAACATCCTACTGCCTAGTGTAGTGTTCCTGCAGAAAAATGGATGACATTTTTCATTCAGTGCGTATGCTTTCATCTGATAGGAAAATGCAACCATATTTCCACTACTCTTTCATTCACAGAGCACTGAGGCAGGAAGGACAGGATATTCAGAATCTGGTATGTGAAAAAACTGCATTATGAGATTGCAACTCACCTCAGCTCCAGCTTTGATGTGTATGAAGGCACATATGGGCTGGTAGGAGCCCGTTCCACAGGCAAAGACATGGCTGCTGTTAAAGCGCTGGAGAAAGCGGATGAAATTGGCACATTCTGTCTGGAAAGGAGTCAAAAGGCACAATTACTCTGGGTTCTCACACTACTATATTGCTATACCCCACTTTAACTGTCATAGCAACACTGTACGGAAATCTGAAATTTGCAGTTTAGGGAAGGACATATTGAATTTTCAGCTAGAGAAGGCATGAGCAAACTTTAGTCCTCCAAGTGTTTTGGACTCCAACTCCCACAATTCCTAACAAACTACCAGCTGTTAGGAATTGTGGGAGTTAAAGTCCAAAACACCCGAAGAGCCGAAGTTTGCTCATGCTTGAGCTAGAGGATACTTCAACCTCAATAAATGATAAAGTTCAGGATTCCTCATAAGGTTGCCATAACAGTTAAAGTGGAATAAATGCACTTCAACGGTGTAATGTGATAAAGCCCTTGAATACTTCTATTTTGTCCCATTTTTTTTACCATAAGAGAAAGTTTCTCTCTCTCAGGCTTTCATTAAGACCTATCTCTAATGAAGATCTGTGAAATATGCATCCTCCCCCTCTCCCAATGTTGCTGAACTTTGCATTATCCATCAACCCCTTTTCCATTTATGGTGGAATGGCCTTCCTTTTCAGATGAGCCCCAATATGGAAACTGTCTCAAGCAACACATGCACCCATACCTGATAATTATCAAGTCATTGCTGCTGCTGAACTAGGCCTGGGGCCATGCAAGATGTGAAAGAGGGGTGCCATCAGTTGTTGCACAGAAATAAATGTCTGTGTACATTTTCACTTCAACCATGTTATTCATAGGGATCACTGAACTTTTGGGAGACATCTCAATCTAAACCAGTGGTTCTCAACCTGTGGGTCCCCAGATGTTTTTCGCTTCAACTCTCAGAAATCCTAAAAGGTGGTAAACTGGCTGGGATTTCTGGGAGTTGTAGGCCAAAACACCTGGGGACTCACAGGTTGAGAACCACTGATCTAAACTGTTGAGACTTTTGACACATGTCCCTGATTGAAGCCCAGAAATCTCATACAGCTGAGTAGTGTTCCTTATTATAAGGATGCCTCCTATTTGAGGGTTGGAAAGCCTTTCCTTTTATATAGACTAAAAAAGATTACCAAAAAATCCCATATTTTGATTTTGGGTCCATCACAAAGACAGAAATAAGTGCATCATGAATGTGGACAACATGTACTAATTTCACAGAGAAATACAAGATTAAGGTAACTGGAACCAATACTTTCATTTGGTACTCAAAGAGAACAGAAAATTCCGAATAGCTAGTCTCTGACCACAAGCCTGCCATGTCATGAATTTTGACAGTCTCTCAATGCTATTTTGAAAACCTGACAACACCAATGGAGACTTTAGTCAAAGGCGCATACTTCAGGATTCTTCCCAGCCAATCTGCAATGCTCTCTCTGCTCTCTAGGAGCTGGCCAGAAAATCTGGAGGAAAAAAGAAAAAACACATAACCAAGACTTTGTTACTCTGGTAGTGATGATGACCGTAGGCTTCTCAGTGAATATAGGTTGGGCGCAGGGGTTTTGGCTGATGAAGTATTCACTCTGTTCTAGTCTCTCTTCCCCACCACACACCTCTGTGCCTGCATTGCATGCAAACACATCCTTCTCTATCCCAGTCCCACTTCCTTTGCTCTTTACACTCCTGCTCTGAGAAGAGGAGAAAGTCATTTTGTGAGTGAAGGAATGTTTTGACCAATCAATGAGATGCCATGATAATTTCTGTTGGAAAAAAAAAACCCACAAAAGTTTCTGCTGTTGTCTGTCCAGGAATACATCCATGCTCTACAATTATAGAGTGGATGCATTGCAGCGGTATTGCACCAACTGACATCCACCAATAGTGAAATGACCAAGGCAGTGACATCTCTGGCCCATCCCCTGTTTGGGTATTAGCCAGCATGCCAACGACTTAAATCAGGAAATAGTTTTCTAAGATCTACAGAGACACTTGCTGTAAGCAAGAGTCCAAAAGTGGCAGGATAAAACCCAGAACCTCAATCAATGGCTGATACCAAATGAGAAACTCCCTCCTGGGCACACAGAAAACTGGGCGACTTGGAAGGCACTGAAGAGACTGCACACTGGCACCACGAGATGCAGAGTCAACCTTAAGAAATTGGGTTACAATGTGGAGTCGATGAGATGCGAGTGTGGAGGAGAGCAAACCATTGACCACCTACTACAATGCACCCTGAGCCCTGCCACATGCACAGTGGAGGACCTTCTTATAGCAACACCAGAGGCACTCCAAGTGGCCAGCTATTGGTCAAAGGACATTTAATAGAATGCCAAGTTTTCATACTTTGTGTTTTTTTCTTTTTTAAATACAATACAACTGTTTGGTTTGCTCCTGATATGAATAAATAAATAAATAAATAAATAAATAAATAAAACAATTACGGCATTTTAATTGCCCTTTAAATGTCATTGTTTCTTCCTATAAAACCTAGGGATTTATGGTTTTGTGAGGTGTTTAGAAATGATTGCCCAAGAGCTCCAATACTTTAATGTGGGAATGTATGAGAGAAGTATGAATCCCAGGAGTTCATAGGATGGAACCACAGCACTTTAAATTCTAAGATGTGTGAACCAATGCTATAGTTATGCAGTGTGTACATATCCATGGTGACAAGGTCATATGCTTGAGGATGCGGTATTTTCAAAACAACTTCATTATTAAAGCTATGTACAACTGCCTCCCACCTATCTCTACTGCTGTTTTTCAGACTTCTATGTACCTTAGAGAGGTAATGTAAAGGAAACAGCTGTACATCAACCCAGGAAGCTGTATCTGATTGGGCAGCTTGGTTTTAAACCTGTCCACTTTGTTTAGGGATGCTGAATAGCTAATTCACACCTGCTTTGGGGTTTCCACACCTTCTGACATTTTGATAGGCATGCACTAGCATTGTACACTCGTAAAGTGACTATTTTGGATATGTTTTTAAACACCTGAAACCTGATTGATATTGTACATGTAGGATGAAAGATATCTATTTTAGACAAATAGTTTAACTGATTTTTCTATCATCCTTCATAAGTATGCATATCTTTTCAACACTGAAACAAAAACACTCTAATTATTTAATGGAACCAAGTGACTACTGTGAAAAAGGACCAGAACAGAAACAAGTCTCTTTCCGAATCTGATCAGCACAATTTTCTCTCTTAGATTGAAAGAGCGTTTGGACTTCTGGTCAAGTTGCGAGCTGTAGTCCCAAAAAAGTAACTCCTCCAAGCTCTGGTTCTTTCCCATCCCATACTTCTTTACATAAATTCTTGCACATATTACCTAATATTATGAGGTCCTACTAGTTTTTTTGTGATATAATAGTGAAATATTGATATCTTCTGACCAGCTAACCTTTTGAGGCTCTATGTTGGGGTGGTCTAGGTGGAGCAAAAACACATGATCCTTGGCACCTGCCATCAGCCATGCCCTCTTTTCATCCAGAAGAAGTGACTGGAAGGCCAGGTCATTATCCGAGTCTAGAAGCAGCCGGGAGTTATTTGATCTCAGTAGATCTGAGAGATAGAACAATGAAACAGAGAAATTGAAACTGATATATATGTTAGCAATATATTTTAGTCTATTTTTTTGCTTCTGTTTATTTTAATTACTTAATATTGATTTTACTTATACACCATCCTGAGGTTTTGGGACACATGATGAGTTATGAATATTTTAATAAGAACAAATGAGTGACACAATGACGAAGAATGCATCTACACTGCGGAACACAGTTTGACACCACTTTAACTATCATGGCGCAATGCTATGGGATCCTGGGATTTGTGGTTTGGTAGGCCATCAGCATTCTCTGGTAGATAAGGCAGAAGACCTGTAAAACTGATTCCACTTATGTTGTTTTCACAGGGAACGCAATAGGACCATAAATGTGAGATCTCATAGATTCACCATCATTCTAGTGAGGGGGATAAGAGGCATGTGACAGAGAAACAGGAAGAGTGCAAATGATCAGAGCATTGTCTAGACTAATTTATACATATAATGTTTGCTTTGCTTGTGGAACTCCTCTTTTACAAAGTACACAGTGCTCTATAAACAAGGAACAATCCTGACTGAAAACTTGCTTTCATGCTTTAGGCCAATGTTTTCCTGGCTATAGTTATTGCTTCTCTAAACACAGAAAGAAGGTTGACCTTCCTCCTCCTTTCATTGCATGAATTTCTGCACGCGTGCCCAATAGCCCTGACACTCCATAATGACCCTCACAATCGCTCTGTTATGTTATTGTTCTCGCCCTTAGTCTTTCAGGCACATCTTTCCTTTGCGCTCCATGTCTTGGTCTTATCATTTCCTTTCGGCAGGCCCATCTGCGTCTTTCTTTCTCCTCCTTCTATTCTACTCCCAGGGCGGAGGACCTCTCTAAGGGCTCGTCTAACGTAAACTGCTGTCATCCCTTGTGTCCTTGAACTTAGCTTGATATCTGTGAGTCACACCTCCTGCCATTGTCTGTCTTGGCCCTTGGTCCTCCACAGGCTGGGAACTTCCTTTCTTTGGAGAGCCAAGATGAAGAGGGTTTATAAAACCCCCACCATGCCCAGCCCTAGCAGAAACAGTGACTGGCCTCCTCCCTTTGAACCAGGGAGGAGGGCTTGTTCTTGTCCTGAGACACAGTCTCAAATATTTTCTTTCCAAGGAAAGTCAGATTACTTTACTTTTGGGAGGAGGCTGGGCATTGTAATAGCTGGCAATGCATCTGTTAGAATTGTCTGGCTCTCATGAAAGCAACATTGATCAATTTGTCTTCTTGGTTTCTTCCTGTCCTCCTTCTTCATTCCAGAAAAGTTAGATTGCAATACACAGATTATATTAAATTAAATCAGGCAGGCTGCTATGAAATTCAAAGCTGGAATACAATGGGTTGATGATGAAGGGAAATGAATGGTTTACAACTTGTATCTGCATACTAGATGTATTTGTTTCAAACTCGCCCATAGTCACCTATCCTTAGTAAAACAACAGACTGCTTCTCAAGCTCATTTCACATCACTAAAACCAGTGCCAATTTACTTTCCTCCAGTCTCTCTTAGCCCAATTACTAAACTTTACCAAAAATTGTACATTTTTTTTCTTTGTGTCAGGAGCAAATTGAGAAACTGCAAGTTGCTTCTGGTGTGAGGGAATGGGCCGTCTGCAAGGACGTTGCCCAGGGGATGTCTAAATGTTTTGATGTTTTACCATCCTTGTGAGAGGCTTCTTTCATATTACCGCATGGGGAGCTGGAGATGACAGAGGGAGCTTCTCCGCGCTCTCCACGGATTCGAACCTCCAACCTGTTAATCTTCAGTTCTGCTGGCACAAGGGTGCCCATTGCGCCACCGAGGGCAATGGCAGCAAGAATCCATGAGCACCCATTCAGATTTCTATCTGGTCCTTTAGAGGAGGCGGGGGAGGAATGTCAGGGCTAGAGTACTGTCTTGAAAAGCTGTAGGTATGTATATTTTTCCAATTGGTTGGATACTAAGGTGTTGTTGCTTTTTATTTAAACATCTGTCTAACAGTAATTGAGACTAAAATGTATCATGCTTTATGATATCACCAGATCCTGCTCCTTGTAATGGCATTTCGTAAACTCACTAAAAAAAGTTGTTTGCACTCAATTAGTTTAGCAGATGAAGGAGCAAGGACTGGGATATTTCCCTTCCCAATAGGTTTGGACAAAAGCAAACTGCTGCAGCCCCTTTCAGCTTGTGTCTTCTACCTCATTAACAACTTCTGGATCTTGATTACACTCCAGTGTTGCTTGGCCACACTTGTCCTCATTTTCATCTGTGAACTTTTGGAGGAAATAGTCTTATAAATGTGCATTTTCTCAAAAAAAGACAAGGACTTCCCCTCACCCGACTCCCTGAACTGGGTTGGAGCATGCAAAGAATTTCTGAAGAGGGACAGTTTCCATTCAATAACAGAAATTGGGGGGGGGGGGGGGGAATGACCAACCACTCCCAGAATCCTGTGGTTTGTGGGTTCTGGAGACTATATTCCCACAAAATAACTTTTCCAATCCCTGCTCATAAATAAGTGTAAGGGAAGAAGGTGATTTAAATGGCTTGGTGAATATTTCCTTTTAATTTGCCAACTTCAGGGGGAAAGTTGTCTCATATCTAGCCGGACTTGCAGGCAGAGTTGTCTGTTACCAGAGGCAAAAGTCAGAGCAACTACTGAGCAGATCTTGGAAAGCTATTTTTAATAACACAAATATAACAACATGCTGAATGAGGAATGATTTAGCTTGGTGAAGAGAAGATGTAAGGGGACATGACTGCCATCTTTACATATCTGAAGAGACTAGAACACACTAACCAATAGATGTACATTACAATAAAAGAGATTCCACCTAAACATTAAGAACTTATTTACTATCAGTGTGAAAAAAAATCACTTTTGGGAGCAGAGTCTCCTTTGGAGGTTTCAAAAAAGGTTGAACTGGAAACTTTCAGGAGTGCTACATTCCCGCATAGCAGAAGGTTAGACTAGACGGCCCTAGTAAGCTTTCCCAACTATAATTCTATGGCTCTAGAAATAGAAGAGACATTTTACACAGTCTACATGCCATCTGAGTTGTAGTATGAATATTATTAGACTTTCTTCCAGTGACAAAAAGTATAATTTGAAGTGTGGGGATTAAAAACACAGTAACTGAAGTGTTCAAAAATTCTCAATCACAACAAAATGCATAACCACTTTGCATCTGCTCACCTGGAAACCCCTAAATCATTCACCTGCAGATCAGTAAAGATTAGGCAAACAAAACAGCAACACAAAAGAACTCAGATGTCCTGCTTAGCCTTTATGAACTTGACTTGAATGAACCACAGGTGCTCAAATGCCTGAGGTATATTGAGATATTGAGTTTCAGCCAGGGGTTACAGGTTGAACCTTGGAGTTAGTGAATGTGACAATCTGGAAGGTGGAGTGTGAGAGAAATCCCTAGGTTAGGGGGAAAAAATGCCTGCATCTGCCTTGTTTTTGTCTTCAGTGGAAATTAAATGTGCCATGGCTGTGGGCCTCCATCCTAGGAATCAATCCAAAAGACCAACATGATGTCCAGCTCTACTACCTTGGTATGACAGGCGGAGACGAGGAACCCACTGCTTCCAGGAAATACTGTTCTCAACTTCCAGTAAAACAAACCAAGCCACAAGGGCTATGTTGGTGGTGAAATAGCAGCACATGGGAAAAATCAATCTGGTCATTCCCTCTTTATTGCCGAATGCTCCAGTGTACAAAAAACCCGACTTCACAGACACATTTTCTTCTCAGAGAAAGTCACCTACCAACTAAAACAGAAATTGAAATAATGAAAATAATAATTAATACATCTAGTAGCAATAGACAAATTACCTTTATCATTCTCATGTGAAACAACTTGAAAGCAGCCAATAACAACAAAGTGATTAAAGGTAAAGTTACTATCCCAAATCCCAAGGATTTTTCTGCTGAATATGATGCCTATATATTTCATTATCTGAAACCAATCTGTCTGCATGGACCCTGGTTCAGTCTTGGCAAGATGCTAACCTCACAACATTGAATTTCCTGCTGGAATGTAGGTGGTTAGATAACTTAGCCTTACCTGCCTGGAGACCAGATTCCATGTTTATTTGGAAGTAAGGCTCTAAACCAGGGATGGGAAACAGCTGGTCCTCTAGATGTTGTTGAATTGAAAGTCTCAATATAGCCAATGGTGAAAGATGCTGGGAGCTGAAGTCAAACAATACCTGGAGGGCTGCCTGATTCCCACTGATGGTGTAATAAAATATGATGATAGCATAACCCTTTCATTAGAATATGAATTCTGCTGCAAAGTATAAAATGGGAGTTGGTGGTGGTTTAAGGTAAATAAGTGGGAGGTGTAAGTGGTGGAGTGTTGAACCCTTCCCTCCATGGCACCCTTTGGTCTCCCAGCCTGTTCCTGCTTTATTACTTTGATCACGGAGCCCACTGCTGGAAGGAATATTTCTGGTTCCTGGGCAATAATACATTTTACCCTCCTTCTTCACACTTCTTCTCTGGTGATCTGTGTTTGAAAAAAATGGGTCTCCTCCTATCACACATTGGCTGAGAACCTACATGGCACAGCATAGTGGAATAGTTCAACTGGTCATGCAAAATGCCCTGGATTTAAGCGTGGGCTGCTGCAGTTCCCACACAGCTGTATTCTAGCTAGGGGGCTGGAAAAATATCTCATTGTATATCCATAGCTGGAAACAATGTAATGTTTTTAAATGCTTCATATGTATTAATTTAATTTTAATTTTAATATTATTGTAATTGTACGTGTTTTAAGGCATTGAATAATTGCCTATATGTAAGCAGCCTTGAGAAAGGTGGGGTATAAATAGGGTAAATAGGTAAGTAAATAAATAAGACGCACTGTACCTTTCTCTTTTTCATATTTCCAGCATAAGTTTTTCCTGGTTTTATATATTTTAGCTAACATCTGTGGGGTTAAATACCATCAATAGTCGACTTGATCACAATTCTCTTTAAGATCACTAGAACACGTAAAACTTTCCATGTCTTTCCAAGCTCTTTCCCATTTGTCAATATCAATTATCCTTCCAACATTTTTTGTCCAGGTCAGGATATATTATTGTATTGGTTCTATGTTTGTTCTTTCCATATTACAAATTTATATGTTTTCAAAAGAGTCATTTGTCCCCTTATCACCTACCTACAAGGATCTATCTATCTATCTATCTATCTATCTATCTATCTATCTATCTATCTATCTATCTCATATTTATTCCAATCCGTTTCTACCAGTTTTTATATTGTATCAAGGATTTTCATTTGGAAAAGGGAGGAAATTTAGAAAAGTAAGTCAGTCTCTTAAAATTAAGAAGATCCTTGAGCCAATAAAGCTCAAATTGCTCATCAGTCTTTTCAAATAATAGGATTCTATTCCGCAATTTTCAGCAGGAAAGGATTTTTTTCTGTGAGCTTTTCTAGAGATTCGTCTACTGATTCTCAGCTTTTTGTTGGTCCCACATTGAGAAGAAATGATGTTCGCTGAGCAAGGGAATATGTTACTTTTGCCAATTGTGTTAAACCCATTTCTTCCAGAGAATAGCAGCTGTTGCTCACTTTCTGTAATTCATTCATTCGGGGGATATCTGTTCTGCCACAGAGAACCACAGACTTCTTATTACTTCTCTTGGAATGTTAGAAATGGTGGCTAAATCTGTTACTAATCCGGCCCCAAACTACTGTTGACCAATAATAGGCCATGTAACAGGAGTTTGCAATTTTTTCCTCTTTTTGGTTTGTTCATCCTCATAAAGATATTGCCATAATATGGATTTTGGTTAAACCTACACAGCTGCATTCTCTGTAACAGGAATGGAGAGCATCCAGCAGTAATAAAGCGCTTGCAAGTAGTGGGAGAAGGACTAAGCCAGAAGCAAAATAATATACAGACTCCCCAGGAACTGATAGCCCCATGAGTGACAGCTGTCTCCCACCTGCTTACTACCAGGGCATGAACTAAGGATTCAGCCATAACTTCTGTTTCACTGTCCCTGGGAGCAGTTGTCTTGGAGTTGAGCACAGCTTTCGCAACACAATGTTGTTATAACTATATTACTGCAAATAGGTGTGTTTGGGTCTGAAAAGATTTAGGATTGGAATCCTCAACCTGAACAGCTGCCTCATTAATGTTCTTTTCCATTTTGTGACTGTTCAATGTTTTGTATTATAAATCCTGACAGTTCTGTTCAGTATAAATCATGACAAGGGATGTGGAGAGCTGCTTGTTACATTTACATTAAAAAGTTTTAAAAAACGAATGTGTACATTGGAAAGGGGAATAAGTTTACATTACGTTGCTACACCAAAAAAAACAATTAGAATGTGAGTGAAAAATCCTATCCCTAGCCTCCCTCGCCCCTTCCGAGGAAGAAGGAAGCAGCTGGATACATTCGGAAAGAAACGAAAAACAAAACACCAAATTCTTGTCCACCCAGGCACTGAAAATGAAAGAGTTGAGTTAAAAAGAAACACACACACACACCCAGGAAATAAGAAGGATATCTAAACTTTTATCTAGAAAGATAAACCATAAGCCAGACTCATCCCACTCATCTCTCCAATCAAGGAAATTTGTACAGCCCCCATTTCCACGAACAATACTCCATAAGAAGAATTCTCAGATTTTTTTAAAAAAAACACACACACATTCACAGTGAAAACCATTAAATTCATTCTCACCCTCACTAATTCTATTGTCAACGTGCCTCCTACAGCGTTTCTACATCACAGCACCATTGCAGTTTGATGCCACGTTAATTACCATTCTATGGGTTGATGAAGCACTTGGAATCTTCTGCCAACCCACTCAAGGCAGGTCTGGTCTGTTACCCTGAAGTAAAATTCCCAAAGCAAACATTTAAAACACAGCAAGGCATGCAAGGTACCTTGGAAATTGTAGCTCAGTTCAGGACATCTTTCCAGCAGACAATGCTAAGTATTTATTTATTATTGATTTCCAACATTTCTTCCCCGCCTTTCTCAACTCCTGAGGGGGGACTCAGAGCAGCTTACACAGGCAACAATTCGATGCCACAACGTACAAAACAATTATAACAGATACAACAACAATTTAAAACAGTAAATAAAACAGTAAGTTAAAAACAATTTAAACATAATTATCAGCCATATAACCATTTCCAGTCCAGTTCAACCTCCAAAGTGCTGTCATGCCTACTGTCCAAAGGCCTGGTCCCAGAACCATGATTTCAGTTTTTTCCTAAAAGAAAGGAGGGATGAAGCTGACCTAATCTCACTGGGGAGCTAGTTCCACAGACCGGGGGGGGGGGGGGGGGGGGGGTGTCACGACTGAGAAGGCCCTGTGCCTCGTCCCTGCCAAATGTGTTTGTGAAGCTGGTAGGACCGAGAGCAGGGCCTCCCCAGACGATCTTAGGCTACGAGGTGGAACATAGAGGGAGATACGTTCGGACAAGTAAGCTGGGCTGGAACCGTATAGGGCTTTAGAGGTAATGCTCTTAAATTACAAGTTCAGAATTCCTTACGAATGGGGACATGTTTGAAGTGGCATCAAACATCTATAACTGAATAGTGCAAATCCTTAACACTGGTTTTCTGGTATCCTGTGCCTTCTTCCTCTTACCTCTCACTTTCCCATCCTCTCACTCCACATGCCTTTTTGTCTAACCTCTCTGTTTTGTCTTTTCCCTCTCCCGATCTCCTTTTTGCCCTCCATGACCTCTGATGTGACTCCCTCTGTTACTTCTCTGTTCTTCACTACTCTACATGCCTCCATATGTCCCTATTTCTCCAATGTCCTCTGTACTCCATTGTGCTTGCACACTTTCTCCTCTTCATGCTCTGTACAAGCAGGCCACACTTTAACAGTCTCACTAGAAGCCAAGATGAAGATATCATATTTTGAAGATGAAGCTATCATACTTTGAACATATCACGAGTAAGTAAGGCCACACCACAGGTGGGTTGACTCAATAAAGGGTCACAATCCTGATTTTCTGGAGCCCCCGGTGGCACAGTGGGTTAAACCCCTGTGGTGGCAGGACTGAAGACCAACAGGTTGCAGGTTCGAATCCGGGGAGAGGCGGATGAGCTCCCCCTATCAACTCCAGCTCCTCATTCGGGGATATGAGAGAAACCTCCCAGAAGGATGATAAAAACATCAAATCATCCGGGTGTCCCCTGGGCAACGTCCTTGCACATGGCCAATTCTCTCACACCAGAGGCGACTTGCAATTTCTCAAGTCGTTCCTGACATGACAAAAAAAACCTTGATTTTGCAAGATGTGAGTGGGTCTGTTGATGAACTGAGTTTTTTGAGGTCTTCCATTCAAACAGTCACCACAAATCAAAGCTAACTTCATGGAATGTTAACAACCACAACACAACATGTTCTACATAGTAGAAACCTTGACATGCTTTTGCATTTAGAACATGACAGCACATTTATCAAATGGATAAATGCATATGTAAAAGCACATGGGTGAATGATGCTGCTCTGTGTAAGACTCAGGGATTGGAACATAAGGTTTAATATTAATTATATTACATTTTTCAGGAAAAATCAAACCAGAATGTAAAGTACATTTTGCTAACAAAACCTACTGTAATTTTGAGGACATTTTTCAGGAAACAATCATGGGGAGATAACATTTTTGCTATTGAATTGCCTGCCTCTTTCTCATCTTACTCTACTATCCTTGGAGTTTTGCGCTCCATAATAAGTAGTGGCTGTGCTTGCCAAGGGGAATGACAAGCATGATGGGCGAGAGGA